GACCACCGCGGAGATGGAGTGATTAAGTCGGCTCGCGTGCGGGCCTTGGATCGGAGTGCATCAGAAGGCCGTGAGATATTGATCACAGTGTCCAGACAGGCCTTCATCCAGCCGTGGATTGACCATGGCTAATGACCATTGGTGTATCGATGATGATTGATGATGATGTATTAGCTGTTGCTGATGATGATGTTGTCTTGGGAGCTTCATTCGGCAGTGGCTGATGATGATGATGATGATTGTGATGATGGTAATGATGGTTACGTGGTTAATAGGTGAACGACTGGTTGGGTGATGATGATGATGATAATGATGCGCGTCATGATGAATGAGCGGTGACTGCTGATGATGATGACGATGGTGGTGCTGGTTGTTGTTGTGATTAAAGGACCCAATGATGATGATGACGACGACCGTGGTATCCGACGTTTCGCTTCACGCGCTCAAGAAGCTGATTCAACAACACGCGAAACCATGCATGTGTGTTGAACTTCTTTCGCACCGTACGGAGCCAACCGTACTAATCGGATGTGAGGGGTAGGACAACAACCTAAACACGAAAAGCAGTTCAAAAATAAATTAATTTTCAATCCAAGAAGAAATTATTTTCTAAACGACAAACACGCATCGGGCTGGCAGCTGTTTCATTCTTTTTTTTTATTGTACAATGGGACGCGCCCTGTAAGTTCACTTAAGAGACACGGGGTATGTTTTACGAAATAAATAACTAATGCGATAAGAGGGGAGAGTTGTTGTCATTGATGCAGCGGGGGATGATGAATGACCACCGCAGAGAGACCGACAGGGAAAGGAAGAGCGAGACAGAGAGAGAGGAGAGAGAGAGAGAGGAGAGAGAGGGGAGACGGACGAGGTATATGGCGGATCTTTATACATACATGCATATGGGTGTGTATGTACATATACATAAACTCTACTAAAACTGAAGTATGTTTTACCAGGTAAGGCCCACTGAGCTATTTAGTTATTTTTTTTCAGAAGCGACCTGGCCACAAATGATAGCTCAACGAAGTGGCGTATCACCACGTGGACATTTAGAGCAGCGGCCAAATACTCTAAACGCGTGGTGATGTTGATTCTAAAGGTGGAGGGGAAAACCCGGAGGACCCGGAGACAGAATCCACGCGACCACGGAGAGAACACGCCAACTCCAAATATACAACAGGCGTCAGGGTCGGGATGGAACCCACTAACTGCCAGGCCAGCGTCGTTATCATCTCGACACCGCAGCACCACGACACCTTCGCTAACGGCACTTCCTCCTACAGTCTCTCCAGGCTACATGGGTGATCTTTGTCTTCATATTTGTCTACATATATACATGTCCGTTACCGCGTGTCGCATCTTAGCCGCACTCATCAGGTACTCGAGGGGGTTTGGAGGGGTGATGGAGTGGTGGGGGAGGGGGGGTGATATTTTCCAGCTGCCAACATCGCCCGTGTCTGCTGTTATCGCGCCTCGGTGACTGCGTGCTCACCGAGGAGGCAATGGGGAAGACACGTGTCACCCCCAGGGCCTCGCTTGGCAGTGGCCAGGCTGAGTTGTGTGTTGTGTTGTTAGTGGGTGGGTGTGTGGGTGGGTGTGTGGGTGGGTGTGTGGGTGGGTGGGTGGGTGTGTGGGTGGGTGTATGGGTGTGTGTGGGTGTGTGCGTGTGTGGATGGGTGTGAGGGTGGGTGTGTGGGTGTGTGTGGGTGGGTGTGTGTGTGGGTGTGTGTGTGGGTGGGTGCGTGGGTGTGAGTGGTGGTGCAGCGGTTAGGGCGCTGCGCTACGAACTCGGCCAACCCGAGTTCGATTCCTGCTCACGGCCAACGCCGGTGGCGATTATCTGAACCGGTATTTAGCCTCCCTAGATCGACTCGGCCTCAAATGAGTACCTGGTGGCAGTGGTGTAAAACATCGCCACTGGAGAGACAAAGGCGGCCGGGGGTGGTGCTGGCCACTCTTCGTGTGCCGTGCAGACCTTCATAGGTGCTCGCTATTCCGTCAAGGCTATACGGGGAATATTTTCTCTCGTTCACATGTTGCGTCGTGAAGGACGCTACTGGGTAGCGCCAGGCTAGGTGCACGCTGAAGAGGCTACTGGACAGTTGGAGGCAGTCGCGGAGGGCAACAGGAGCGACGCTCACAACAACGAGCGGAGCGCCGCGCGGCTAAAATGAAGCAAGTTGAGTGGGGTCGTGGGGGGGGGGGAGAGAGAGGAAATGGGAGAGAGAGAGAGAGAGATGGGAAGGGATGCGGGCCAGAGAGGAGAGAGACTTTGACTTTTAAACCACTTTTTATTGCCGCCAGTAGCAACAGCACTGGAGGCGATTCCGATATGAAATACACAGTCACCAGCAAACAAATGAACGCTATAAATCCACGCGCTGTGGCGCTAAATGCAGCGCGCACAACACGAAAGAAAAGTCACGTGGTGGTGGTGGTGGTCATCGCGCACGCCACGGTGACGAGCGAGCGCTTCAGAAGGTGAACACGAAGGTGCCGTCCACGCTGGTACAGAGGGCTTTTCCGGCTCCCCAGCGTTCGAAGAAGACGTGCACATCACCGGCATGTGTGTGGTACGCGTGCTCCAGCCAGAGCCGCGCCTTAAGCAGGCCCCTGAACACTGGAAGCACAGAGCAGCCGTCAGTGTCAACTTCCAGCATCTTTTTTCTAGTTCTGTACACCACAATCTTCGCCTGAGCACAGGCGAAGTTGGCGAGGTCATGGCGCTTGTTAGCCAGGTAACGCACCACCCCATATACGAAGCTGCTGTTGAAGAAGGGCACCCCCAGTTTCCTGAAGATGTCCCGCAAAAGGCGGAACATTGGTTTGAGCCGCTGGCAGCGTAGGTAGCGGTGGGGCAGATCCTCCCTGGCACCGCAGGAAATGCACAAGTCTGTTACCCCTGGCGAGATTCGGCTGAGCCACACGGCCGATGGCAACGTGCAGTGTGCCAACCTCCACTGGAGGTCACCGCAGCGTTTGGCTACGGGGGAGACTTGTACATTTGTTTCCACTGAGGAGCGGCTGCAATGAGGGGGAGAGAAATGGTCTCTCCATTTTGTGTCCGGTAGGTCGGCCAGGTCCCGGGAATGCAGCGCCTTGAGAGAAGAGAGAGAGGGGGGGGGGGGGGGTAGCGGAGATAGCGAGCGAGAGGGAGAGGGAGCAATACAGACAGAGGAAATGAGAGAATAGGAGGTGGAATGAGCGAGCGAAGCGGCGGGAGGGGATGGAGCAGATAGAGAGAGGCGCTCGGGTGAATGTTGCGGTTTAAGAGACCGATTGTGGTGGAGGTGGGAGGCGTCTGAGAGAAAAGAAAGCGGTCTCAATAGACCACCAGCCCCCCGGCAGCCCCCCCCCCCACCGCCAGCCCTCGTGGTAATAATGGATCTTGAGCGTTTCCCGGCGCGGTACTAGGCCCAGTCAGACTGGCTCCAGATTTCTCTCTCTCTGTCTCTCCCCACACCTCTCTCCCTCGCTTTCTCTGTCTCTCCCTCTCTCTGTGTCTCTCTCCCTCGCTCTATCTGTCTCTCCCTCTCTCTGTCTCTCTCCTGCGCCCTCTCTGCCTCTCTATCTGAGCACTACGCTGAGTCTCCGCCACGTGACAAAGGTCCCCCGTGTAGCCTTAAAAGACTGTTGGGGACAAGCGTTGTTAGCGAGGAGCACCGATCAAGGCCGGACAGGCATGCGACGGGGTGGGTGGCCAACTCCACGCTCTGTCGCCTTCGAGTCCCCCAGGTACTCGTGTTTAAGGCTGAGTCTACCTAGGGGAGGCCCAGAACTGGTTCAGATAATCGTCGCTTGGTGTTGGTGGCCGTGAATGGGAATCGAACTCGGGTCGCCGGGTTCCTAACACATTCCCTCTCTCTCTTCTCTGGAGAAAGAAGCGCACATTAATTCAAGTATTTTTACGAGATGTGATATACACACGTAGACTTTCACGACCATTTTTTTCATCCATATTCACTTCCGTGTGGGGTTAGGTCATCTTGTCTGTGCCGTGTCAGTGTTTAACTGGAGCCCTCCACCACCCGACGGAGACAATAAAAACCAGCGGGTCACGCGACGGACACATTTCTGCCCAATCGATTTTCAGCAAAAATAAAAATAAAACCGGACGAGGAGGATGAGGAATGTTTGCAATTATTTCTTTATTTGTTTTACGAGGCAATAACTCAAAGAGACCAGGTTTGGAAAGGCATGGGCTACTGTGTGAGGGGCGGAGTTGGGAGGGTGGGGGTGGGGGCGGTGGGGACTGGGGGTGAGGAACGGGGGGAGAAGGGGGGGTGCGTGGGGGGTTGGTGATTAAGTCCAAGCTGACCACAGGGGAAACTCTGATCACTGGCCGGAGCTTGTTGTGATTATCCGGCGGCTTTGGAGATTAAAGCGGGTCCCCAATGTGGCAGTGAATTGGTGGGTGGTGGGAGTGGGGGGTGTGGGGGGGCACGGGGGTGGGGGGGAGGGAGAGGCGTTAGACGATGAGATGAAGAGAAATACTGTATTGACTTTTCTTGGTTCCACAAAACAAAACAAAAAACCACGACCCCGTTCCGGAGTCGCTCCTGACCGTGAGAGGTCGTGACGACCCTCGTCCATCTCGGGGTTGTGAGAGACTTCTCGGACGAATCTCTGTTCTGTTGTTCCCCAACGTCGCGGTTCACGTAGTGGGGCCTCTAGTGGCTGCAAGGCGTTGCTTCGGTATTATTTACACAGCCACCACCCCTCCGGCTGAGTGGAAGTCGAGCGATTGATCGCTTCGCTTGGCAGTGGTAGATGTGGTGGTGGGGGTGTTTGTGGGGGTGCGGTGGCGCAGTGGTTAGCGCACGACGGCACGTAGCCAACCGTGCCACTCGCGAGGTGCGGCTATCAGAGTTGCCCGCGTGTGTCATCCGCAACCCTCGCTGCTGCCCCGCCACCACCGCCAAAGACAAAGGTCCCCCGTGTAGCCTTCGCAGACTCGTCGGGCAAGTGCTCTGAGCGAGCACCACCACCATCAAAACCACCACCGCTGTTACCGCCCGGCTAAACGTGTTTGTGATGAAGATGACAAAGACTGTGTTGCTTCTTTATTTGTTTTATTAACATCATTAATGTTTGTTTTTTAACGAGACATCATCTCAAAAAAGTGTGGATAACTATATAGCCCTAACCGCACACGTGGTATATGTACACGATCCTATATACAAACGTACGTACGCGAGCACGCACGTGTATACGTGGACACATACACTCACACAGACATGTACACGCATGTACGAAAACACGCATGTACAAAAAAAACATTCGCGTGCATACATACAAAGCCAAAGATCTCCTGTATAGCCTCTAAACAGACTGTTGGGGCAAGTGCTGTTAGCGAGCACACAGCCACCGTTCGCCACTAGGTGGTGGTGACGTCAACACGGCGTCTGTGCCAGGCTAGGTGCACGTTGAAGCCGTGCGAAGTATCGAAGTCCCGCTGGAAGGAGGTCACGGGATAGACCCAGGTGCCATGTGTTGACTGAGTGAGATGAATGGCAGATGTACCACCTGTGTCCCATACTGTGACAACTTGCTGTGTTTTAGGCGCCCGGCGCTTCGCTCGTTTTTGTGAGCGTCGCTCCTCCCTCCTCCGTTGTTGCTGGAGGGCGACTGCCTCCAGCTGCCCAGTTGGGTCCTTCATGAGCGTCCCCCTTAGAGGCCGATCTTGACACCGCTGGTATCGGTCATCGGCAAGTCCACTGAGCTGCACATCAGCCCGTCTCCGTCTCTATCCCGTGCCGCGCCCGTTTAGCACCCCTCGATCCGGCCAAACAGAAGCTGCTTTGGACATGCAGTGGCTGGGCTTGTGAGCTATGTGACCCAGCTAACGCAGCCTCGCCTGCCGGAAGAGCTCACCGAGGATGATAATGTGGTACTGTTTCCAGATCTTTAGAGAATCTGTGAGCTTTTAACGCAGACAGAAACACACACACGCACTGCGGTTACACACACACACACCTCGGATAACTCCTCTCGCATCACACCGCAATGAAGACTACACTGGAGTCGCAGCAGTTGTAAGCGATTGGCGCGTGTCACACACTGCCGAAGCCACCTTCACCTAGGAGACCCCCTCTCTCGCCACCACCACCACTCGTGTGGGTCACCGTGACGTCTCCGCGATTGGAAGCCGCGCAAACTGCTCGCTCGGATGTGAACAAAGCGGTTCGCCTGGCGGTGATGAATGAGGTCGCGCGATGATTGCGAAGGCGATGGCTTTTGTCAGTTTTTTTGTGTTATTTTGTAAAACAACAGTTGCTGAGCGTGCAGCAACAAACAGCACCGAGCATCAACGTTGTGACCGATAAGAGCGCAGCAGCGTTTCTTGCATTGGAATTGGTCGCGCGACTCCTGAGCCATATTCACCGGATTATAAGACGCACTTTGTCCCCTAGGCGCGCCTTGTCATCCGGTAGGCGTGTGTGTGTGTGGCGTGTGTGTGTGGCGTGTGTGTGTGTGGCGTGGTGCTGGCCACCCACCCCCTCGTGCGCATTGCCGGCCTTCATATGGGCTGCTCGATAACAGCACTTGCCCCAAAAGTCTGTGAAGGCTGGGGGCGGGGTTGGTTGTGTTATAGACAGACTCTTCCCGGCACCATAGGAACGTGAAATCTCCACCACCGGCTCTGTAGGACTGTGATCAGGCGTTGAGTCAACGTGGGTCATTTGAGATCACTTTGGATATTTTTTTCGGGGGGGGGGGGGGGGGTGACCGGTTAGTGGCAATGTTTACACAACGCACCAGGTACCCATGTGAGGTTGAGTCGACCTAGGGGAGGCCCAAGGACCCGTTCAGATTTTCACCAACGATGTTGGCCGTGAGCGGTAGTCAAACTCGGGTGGCCGGGTTCGTAGCGCAGCACGCTAACCACTACATTATCTGATACCTGATAACGTATTATATAACCGAACATAAATTATATAATGTATAGAAAATGCAAAAAATGATAAATTATATTGTAAAAAAAACAATATGTGAATGCAAACATAATTACGTAACTTTGATCATGTCATATACATTATATAATCCTGCGTCGAACGCGAGCCCGATGACACTTCTGCTGATGAGACACTAAAAGTCGAAACCCGTCCAGCGTCTTGCTTCACTGAAACCACCGCTGCTGAAATTACGCACTTCGCTCACCAAGGTCGTGCGTGCATAATGATGATTGTGTGTTCGGAAAAAAACATTTTCGCAAGTTTTATTCAAGACGTGAGTAGGAGAGACGGAAATGTGAAGGTGGAAAACGTTCGCTTTTGATGTCATTACTTCTGTTAAATTAGACACACGGTGCCCAACCCGACCCACCCCTGCACTCTGGTACCCGATGAGTATGGCCAAGATGCTTACTTAGCAGTGACGGATAAACAAACAAACAAACAAAAACACAATCGATTCTTTTTTTTCGGGCCGCCTCTAAGTGGTTGGGCCTCAACGCGGGGCCGTCACGGTTCGTCTGGAATGAAATCGCGGCTCGCGCGTGGCCCGCGTGGCCTCGTACCGTCGGGGTGGGGGAGGAAGGGTCCTGGACTTGTCAATTGCCGACAACAATTGCTCCAAAATTGCTCTAAGTTGATTGTGGTCTTTTAGGAGGGGGGAGTGGGAGGTGAATGAGTGGGGGGGGGGGGGGGTACGTGGGGGGTAGGAAGTGGTGTAAAAAGGGCTTCATATCTCGTGTTGGGGAGGGGTCTTTCCGGAACTCAGCCCCGGGCAGCTCCGGCTGAAATGTAATTAATTGATTATAAGGGGCAAAAGGGGATTAAATACTTTACCACTGCCGTTACCACCATCATCAACACCATCACCAAACACTGCCCATATGAATTAGACAATCACACAATCGTGTTCTAGACTTGTGTGCTCATGTGCGGGTCGCGAGGGCATCATTTGGTCAAACTTTACCACGCTGGTTTGGTTGAAGATGGTCAAGAATGAAAAGCTCATGAATCAATGGCTTTCGATTCGTAGACGTTGTAGCCAATGATTTAATGGCAACTTCTCCAGCCACTCGAGGCTACAATGTATTTTTTGTCTATCGAATCGTGACAATTCCTTGAATCGTGACGGAGTCGGAGGGGAGGTGGGTGAGCAGTGGGAGGGGTGGGGGATTAATTTCAGATGGAGCCGCCCGGGACTGAGCTCTGGAAAACATCGCAGGGGAAATTAAATCCCTGGTTACATTCCTCTCCATATGGAACCATTGCCCTCCCGAGTGACTTACTGAGTTACGGTGACTCGGGGTCACACGGGGTCACGAATCGATAATGGTTAAACTATTGATAATGGGTTTGTTCCATAGTTCGTATCTGCTCCGTTTGCCGATGATTCCCACCCCCCTCCCGCGTCTCGTTCTGTTCGTTCGATTACTTTGCACGGTGCAATGAGCAGAAATTAGCATATCATGTGTATATAATTTACATATAATTGACATATAATTTAAATAACGCACCGCACACGACTGGGTATTTAAAAAAAATAGATTTATTTAAACTCGAAGTTTACTTTAACTAGATGGGTTTTTTTTACATTCCATATTTATTTTATTTTTTCCAAAAATCGATTAATATTAACTAAATGAGTTTTGATCACATAAAATTATTAATATTCATATTTCCAATGCAATATGTTTTTTTTTCATCGAATATCTTCATTTCTACTTAAGCCGATGCGACCGCCATGTGGCTACAACAAATTTAAATGTTTATGACCAGAGAGGGCTTTGCATCTGCCACGAAATAATGCCCGCACCCCCGCACACACCACCACGCCCAGTCCACCTCAATGGATGTCGCGTTCCGCCCCTGCCTCCAGTTCTCGTGAAAGCGAGACATCAAACCCCTTCGTGTGGATCCCAACAAACTCCGTTCGTTTTTTTTGTTTTCAAGAGCCGATGTCATTGACTTCTCTGAGAAACGCCTTCATCCGTCCCCTGAAAATGGCCCATCACCCGAAACGTCGGCTCACTGTACAGACAGGTAATACGGCAGCGTCTGAGGATGCAACTGCTGATGATGGTAAGGAGTTCGAGACAACGCTATTGAACTTAACGCTCGGAAGGTTTTTTTTCACAGTCATCATCAAGATTCGTGATATATTTTTTTTGGGGGGGGAGGAGGGGGGGCGGAGGAAGAGGGGGGGGGGGTAATTGGACCCACCGCCCAATTGACGTGGCCAGATGTTGTGTCGTGAAGACCCTCCACCACCCAACGCAGCCCGAAAACAAATGAAATGTACACGTAGGTGTGCGAGCGATCGCAGCGGGGGTCAAGTCACCGCCAGCACGTCAAAATAGAAACATTTTTCTCACGACAACCAAAAGCATGAAAATAATGTAGTGTCAGTAAGAGGGCCAAACAATTTGTGCCTTCCTGGGTCTCCAACCTGACCTGGCGATGCTTGACGCAGCTTCAAGGAAGGCGTCGCCTGTCTAACCGCTCAACTCTGCTGTGAAAATTGACACGACAACAATAATTATGATTTAATGTCTGGCCGTGTTAGGTGGTGGAGGGCTTCACAGCAACAACAACAACAATAACAACAAATAGATAATCATCGCGCGGCTGGATCTTGAATAAAAAAAAACTAACTCGATTACGAAATCGATATTCGCGTAGCGTCCACGGAAGAACCGGGGGCGTCCGTGAAGAAAAGTTTGGTGCAGAGTTTCCCCCCCCCCCCCCTTCTCCTCTTCATGTCCGCAAGACTCATCCCAAGGGCCCGCGTCTTGACGTCAGTCCACGTGGCGCGCGCCCATCCTCGCGTGCGTCACTCCTCTCTCGTCGACAGCACCATGATCATCATCATCTTCTTCATCATCATCATCACGGTCACCCACATCATCTTTCTCAGCGTCGGCTCGAGTTGTGTCACTTGTCCACGCGGCAGCTTCAACCTCCTCGTCACCATCGTCCTTCTCATCGTCCAACTCCTCCTCCTCCTCCTCAACATCTTCTTCGCCAATGTCTTCTTCCTGCTCTTCGTTCTCCACTTTCTCGTCTTCAACCTCGTCCTCTTCGTCATCATCCTGAACGTCTTCCTCCTCCTCTTGAACCTCTTCCTGAATCTCCTCTTCATCCTCCTTCTCTCCTGCCTCGTCACCACCACCACCACCACTACCGCACGAATCAGGTCCGTTCAATGGCCCTGCTTTTAAACCTCCAACCTTCACCTCCACAAAGCGTCTTCCGCCTCCATCACCGCAAGCACCACCATCACCATCGTGACCACCATCACCACGACCAGCATGTTCCGCATCGCCACAACCATCACCGCCACCACCATCACCGCCACCACCATCACCGCCACCACCATCACCGCCACCACCATCACCGCCGTCGTCGTCATCGGGGTCACTTAACTCCTCCTGGGAGGCTTCTGCCGCCACCGCCGTCGACGCAGCCGCAACCTCTCGCTGCTGAAGTCCACCGCCGCGCTCGGAGGGTCCACCCGGGGTGGACATGCCGGGGTGGGGGCCGGGGAGGCCTGGGTGGGGGCCGGGGAGGCCTGGGTGGGGGCCGGGGGGGCAGGGGAGGAGGGGGCGATCCCCTGGGCGGCAGCGCTTGAAGCGGCGGTCCGGGTAGAGCGAGGGGTCGAAGGTCACGTGGTGGACGCTGCGCACGTGGGTCTTCAGGTTGCCCTTCTGCGAGGCGCCGTACGAGCAGAAGAGGCAGCGGTAGCGGCGCTCACCTGCTCACCAGGTGAGGCACGCCAGGTAGGGAGAGGCGTGGGAGGTGAGAGGTGAGGGAGGGAGGTGAGGGAGGTGAGGGGGGGGAGAGAGAGAGGGAGGTGAGGGGGGGAGGAAGAGAGGGAGGTGAGGAGGTAGAGAGGTGAGAGGAAGGTGAGAAGGGAGGGGGGGTGGAGGTGAGGTGAGGAGGGAGGGAGGGAGAGAGCAGAGAGGTGAAGGAGAAAAAGGTGAAAGAGAGCGAGGGAGCAGAGAGGGAGATATGTAGAGACGGAGGGAGGGAAGGAGATGGAGGTAAGAGAGAGAGTTGAGTGACAAGTGTGGGCAGATGGAGAGATAGAATCAGGTGAGGAAGAGAGAGAGAGAGAGGTGGGGGGGGGAAGGGAGATGAGGGAGGTGAGGGGGGAGGGCGGGGTGAAGGACGGAGGTGGGGAGAGAGAGAGTCATGAAGAGAAGCAGAGAGAGAGAGAGTGAAGATAAGAGGGGGAGAGAGGGAGTGGTAGGGGGGAGAGAGAGAGACGGGGCAAGGAAGAGACGAGAGACATAGCGAGTCGTTACATTGAGGCCAACAGCTGGCTGGACGTGGCACGCCGCTTCAATCACAACTCAGCTCATTACGCGGATCTTGATCCAAGCGTGTGCGGGTATCCGTGAGTCGACAAAGCTTTCTTTAAATGTTTGGATGTCTACTTCTTACCTCCTCCCAACCCAGCCCCCTCACTCTCTCATCCCCCTCACCGCCCCCCATTGGTGGAATTTCCAGATCCGTCTCTGCTTCGAACTCATGCTCAGTGAGTGACTCCGGAAGACACGGCTATGATGACCCTCCACCGAGCCCTTGAGCCCCATCCTGAGCCCCATAGTGAGCCCCAGCCTGCACCTTAGCCTGAACCCCAGCTAGAGTCTCAGCCTGCACCTGAGCCTGAACCCCAGCTAGAGTCTCTGCCTGCACATTCGCCTGAACCCCAGCTAGAGTCTCTGCCTGCACCTTCGCCTGAACCCCAGCTAGAGTCTCTGCCTGCACCTTCGCCTGAACCCCAGCTAGAGTCTCTGCCTGCACATTCGCCTGAACCCAGCTAGAATCTCTGCCTGCACCTTCGCCTGAACCCCAGCTAGAGTCCAAGCCTGCACCTTCGCCTGAACCCCAGCCCCGTAGCCCCAGCCTGTACCTTAGCCTGAACCCCAGCTAGAGTCTGTGCCTGTACCTTCGCCTGAACCCCAGCTAGAGTCTATGCCTGCACCTTCGCCTGAACCCCAGCTAGAGTCCAAGCCTGCACCTTCGCCTGAACCCCAGCCCCCGTAGCCCCAGTGGCAATGCGTCTGGGCTGGTTTGACGCACGACCCGACAGCGCTCTCTGCTGTCCTGGCGCTGATCAGCCTCGGCGATCGCCATGGGCGAGGGGGCCCCAGTCCCACGCGCTCTCTCGCTGCATCCGCTCGATTACATCACCGACTCGCCTTGCTCGTGGTCACGGTTTGTGTGTGTTGTAGGTATATAAATGCGGTGTGCAGGGTGGTCCAGGTGTCTTGTGACCCCCCCGCCCCGAATTATAGTATATTTGTTTTTATTTTATCCAGGCAAAGGCTCACTGAAGCGACCCTGGCGATCACAAATGTTATCTCAACAAAGTGGCGTATCGTCATCATTTGCGAACTGACATCACGCAAATACTCTGAACAATTAATTGACCCCGGACGTATGTTTTTTTTCCTCTGCGTATATAATTTCTGTTTTAAATAAACATGACTTAAAATATATATAGATGTATTACGTTTTAGAGAATTAAATGGGTGTCACAAGACATCTGGACCATCGTGGACATGTCCAGCACCGTATATCAAGACTGCCAAGCACAGGTCCAGAGGGCTGAAACACCAAAACCACCACCACCACTACCACCACCACCACCACCACCTAACATCACTACCACCACCACCGAACATCACGACCACCACCACTACCACCATCAACTACCATCACTACCACCACCACTACCATCACTACTACCACCACCACGACCATCACCACCACCATCACTACCATCACCACCAAAGATCCCCTGTACAGCCTTAACAGACTGTAGGGGCAAGTGCTGTTAGCGAGCACCTATGAAGAGGAGGCCCAGGACCGGTTCAGATAATCGTCAACGGCTTTGGCCGTGAGCGGGAATCGAACTCGGGTCACCGGGTTCGTAGCGCGGCGTAGCGATATTCTGTGACCACCAACCAACCACCGTGACGAACATCAACCAACATCGTCAACCGATCCATCATCTCTTTCGCCGCATCTTCACGTTACAACGCTCGTGTCACGGTGCCACCTTCAAGGACACCGCTCGAGTATCCACGACCGCCCCTCCTGCCCCCCCCGCACCCGAGTGACCCCCCCTGCCCCCCAGTGACCCCCCCCCCCTCATCCCCACCCCTCATCTCTCCGCTGTCTCCCCGGCTCTGCGCGAAGAACCGGCGAGGCCTCTTTAGAATTACCGCAATCAAATCTCGCTTAGCGAAAATAAAAGGTATGAAAGCTACATTTCCTAATCCAATTTGAGACGAATATTAAAAAGTAATTAAAATGAATAATTAAAACGCGTGTGAGTAATGGCTGGTGTTGGAGAGACGAGAGAGGCAGTGAGAGAGAGAGAGAGGCGTGCGTGTGTGGGGAGGGGATGTGCATGGAAATGTACCCAAAGATAAAGGTCCCCTGTATAGCCTTCAACAGAACTGTTGGGGCGAGTGCTGTTAGCGAGCAGCGGTTTTGAAGGGCGGCACGACACAAGAGGAGACCACGTGGTCTGAAGCACTCCCAGCCGTCTTTGTCTCCCTTTGGGGGATTTTTTTTTGTTTACACCGCACCAGATACTCGTCTGAAGCCGAGTCGACCTAGGGGAGGCCCAGGACCGGCTCAGATAATCGTCACCGGTGCTGGTGGCCGTGCTGAGCGGGCCGCGGTGGCTTTAAGTCGTGCTAACCACTGCGCTAACCGCTGCGACACCGCTCCCCTTCATAGCACGCGCACGCACGCGCACGCGCACGCACGCACGCGCACGCACGCACACGCACGCGCACGCACGCGCGCGCACTCGGAATTTCCAAATGCAAGTGTTCACCGTGAACTAATGGCTGTCAGTTGGCAGTGTGTGCACAGGTAAGGCTAATTGATTCTAACGACACTTTTTAAAACGGAGTGCCTCTACATCTCCCACTTACACCGGGGTACGGGGGGGAGGGGGGGGCAGGGGGGGTGAGGTTGAGAGACTCTTGGGGTCTTCAGTTACGGGATGTCACATCTTCTCCCAAATCCTTAACCCTTTCATCGTCTGCGTCCTAAACAATCATCACGATCATCATGACCATCTTCATCATCACCATCACGAGCCATGATCTACCCACTGCTATAGATGAAGGCCTCCTAACCCAACTAAAACTCGGGTGGCAGGAGCGGTGGTGCAACGGTTAGCACGCTCCGCTACGATCCCGGCGAGCTGGGTTCGATTCCCGCTCACGGTCAACACCAGTGACGATTATCTGAACCGGTCCTGAGCCTCCCCCGTAGGTCGACTCAGCCTCAAATGAGTACCTGGTGCGCTGTATAAAAACATCGCAACTAGGGAGACAAAGGTGGCCGGGCGTGGTGCTGGCCACCCACCCCCTTGTGTGCAGTGCCGGCCTCATAGGTGCTCGCGAACAGCACTTGCCCCAACAGTCTGTTAGGGGGGATCTTTGTATTTGTTAGTAGGAGAGTGAGTAGATAGGTGAGTGGGTAGGTGGGTGGGTGAGTGGGTACGTGAATGGCTTGGTGAATGAGTCGACCGATCAGCGAGTGAGCGGGTAGGTGAGTCTGTGACCGAGTAAGTAAGTGAGTGGTTAGGTGAATGGCTTGGTCAGTGAGTGGATAGATGAGTGGGTGGGTAGGTGAGTGGGTAGATATGTGATTGGTTGGGTGAGAGAGTGTGTAGGTGAGTGGGTGGTTAGGTGAGTGGGTGGTTAGGTGAGTGGGTGGTTACGTGAGTGGGTGGGTGAGTGGGTAGGTGAGTGGGCGAGTGACTGGTTAGGTGAGTGGGTGGTTAGGTGAGTGGGTGGGTTGTTGAGACGAACAAAGACGATGAGTACAAAGATGAAGACGATGATGATGACGATAATGCACGGGGGCAGCTCTCATTAATTATTCTAATGAATTGAAACGTTCAGCGGAGGAGGAGGAACGTCTGTTGAGACGCGTCAACGATAATTGCGATGAAGTGTGGCGGGAAGTCTCCCCCGCGTAGGCAGTCCGGAGACACGCACCCCTCACCCTGGGAGACCCGAATCAGACGCATTATCATCACACTTCATCACACATCATCATCGCCATGGCACCACCGTGCGCGTGACGTGGCAGCAGCAGTAGTCGCAGTAACAGCAGCAGTAGTTGCAGTAGTAACATCAGCAGTAGCAGCAGCAGCAGCAGTAGGAGCAGCAGCAGTAGTAGCAGCATCAGTAGCAGCAGCAGTAGTAACAGCAGTATCAGTAGCAGCAGTAGCAGCAGTGGTAGCAGCAGTAGCAGCAGCAGTAGTAACAGCAGTAGTAGCAGCAGTACGTATGTATGTTGAACTTCGTTCTCATCGTACATAGCCAACCGTGCTTATTGGAGCAGTCGCAGCTTCAGTAGTAATAGGAGCAGAAGCTCCCAATAAGACCACCCAGCCTCATCCCCGCCACCCCTTCCCACCTGACCGTCTCCCTCCCCTCTCCTCCTGGACATCCATTCCTCTCTCTCTCTCTCTGTCTCTATGACCTCGCCAACTTTACCTGTGCTCAGGCGAAGATGGCGGTGTACAGCACGAGGAAAAAGGTGACACTGACGGCTGCTCTGTGCTTCCAGTGTTCAGGGGCCTGCTCAAGGCGTGGCTCCGGCTGGAGCACGCGTACCACACACATGTTGGTGATGTGCACGTCTTCTTCGAACGCTAGGGAGCCGGATAAAGCCCTCTGTACCAGCGTGGATGGCAACCCTCGTGTTCACCTTCTGAAGCGCTCGCTCGTCACCGTGGCGTGCGCGATGACCACCACCACCACGTGACCTTTCTTTCGTGTTGTGCGCGCTGCATTTAGCGCCACAGCGCGTGGATTTATAGCGATTATTCGTTTGCTGGTGACTTTGTGTATTTCATATCGGAATCGCCTCCAGTGCTGTTGCTGCTGGCGGCAATAAAAGTTGTTTAAAAGTCAAAATCTCTCTTTCTCTATCGATCTCACCTCTTTCCTCCTCTATTATCTCCTGTCCTCATCTTCCCTGTCCTCTCATCTCTCCATCTCTCAATCCATTCCTCGATATATATACACACTATCTATCTCTCCCCCTATCTCGTATTTCCTCTCCTCTCTGATCCATTACTCTCCCACTATCTCTCCTCTTCGCTCATCTCTCCTCACATCCCGTTCCCTCTTCACCCTCCTCTCTTTTTTTTACGATCAGTGGAAACAAGAAGATGCTCGGTGTATTCGGCACTTTGCTTCGTTCATCATTTCGTAATTTATTTTTAATAACTTTGCTTTATGTAAACCCCCACCTCTCGCTCACTCTCTCGCTCTCTCTCGTTCTGCACGCAGCCCTTCTCGCAGTCCAACGGCCTCCGACGGGTAGCTCATAACTGCATGCAGAGCTCCCCGTCATTTGCGACCGAGCACACGGCCTCCTCCATCGCCCACTGCTCCTTGAAGGCCGGCACGGCGTGGGTCAGCCGCGCATGGCGGAACTCCAGCCCACACACCCTGGCTCCGACCAGAGCGCGGAAGATGCCCAGGCTGCTGGCCGAACGTTTCCCCTCCAGGGCCACCTTCCTCGCCCTGTAAATGGCGAGCTTGGCGTAGCCAACCAGCACGTTGACCAGCCCCTCCTCTCACCTCCATCTCTCTCTCTTCCCTTCTTCCCCCATCTCTAATACATCTCCCATTTCTCTCTCTCTCTCTTCATTTGCCCTCCTATCGCGCTCTCCAAGGCCGTAGACATGGAGTCAACATTGGGGGGGACCACATCTTCCAGGGAGTCTGGGGGTCCCCCCCCAGAAAAAAAATCTAAATTTGAAAACGAATTTTCTGCCATTTCCTGCCTAAATATTTAAAAAATTAACTAACACATAGGATGGACTTTTTATTTATGTTTTTACAATAATGTATAATAGTGTATTGTATTACATTGCTCTGTTTTTTTCCTTTTTACCTTTTCTTGTTTCATTGTAAGTAATGGCAGAGATAAGGGATTTATAAAGTACAACCATAACCATCTATTTAAAAGCAATATATTGGGGGGGTGACATTTTGAGCACCCACACACCCAAACAACCACACAGCCCACCACACACACACACACAACTACACAGCCGACGACGCATACAACCACACACACAGCTCACCACACATACAACCAGAAAGCCACACGTACAACCACACACATAAACAAACATACAACCACACATAACCAAACCTACAACCACACTACCACACATACAACCACACATCCACACAGCCAACCACACATACAACCATATAACCACACAGCCAATCACACATACAATCACACTACTACACATACAGCCACACAGCCATCAAGCCAGATATACAAACACACAACCGCACAGCCAAATATACAATCACCCAATAAATACATTATTAGAACACACGCAGGTCACAGACATCATCCGAACTACCTCCGACGATTGCTCTGGGATAGCGCTCATTCTTAATCCACACAGATGGATTCACTATTCTTGGGAAGACACAGTAGAACATTTTGAATGGCATTGTTTTTCATGTCCTTATCAGCAGTGGCGAATACGAGAATTGTTGAAGCTCTCGAGTTCACCGAGAACACGATTGGAATTGTACATCCCGGTCGCAATTGTCTGTAAGTGCACGTATGTGCACGTGTGTGTGAATGTATGTATAGTGAATGTGTGTATGTATTATGTGCGTCCGTGTGTATTATGCATTCAAGCATCTGTGTATTTGATTACGTATGTATGTAAGTGTGCGGTGAGCGGTGGTTAGCAGGCATGCGCTACAGAACCCGGCGACCCGAGTTCGATTCCCGCTCACGACTAACACTTGTGACGAATATCTGTACCGGTGCTGGGCCTCCCCTAGGTCGACTCAGGCTCAAACGTGTACCTGATGTGATGTGCAAACTTCGCCACTTGGGAGACAAAGGCGGTCAGCCGTGGTGCTCATGAGGTGCTACTCGCTAACAGCACTTTGCCCGAACAGTCTGTTCAGGCGACGCAGGGGATGTCTGACCTCTGATGCGTACGAGTGTATGTATGTCATCGTGTATATGTGTGGTTTCTAATCGCTATCAAACCAAGCACTACCCCCATCACCGTCACGACCACATCTCCTCCGTCACCGAGTCCACACATCGTAACCGTCGCCTCCCCAACATCACCCCGTGCCCCCCCCCCGCCCCCCAACCCAACCTTCATCACAACTCCCCCTCAACCCATCACCTCCATCACCACCATCACAATCGGCCGCATCAGTCCGTCCATTGTTCCAGGTCATCCACATCGCATCCATCACTTCCATTCCACAACATCACCAATCCTCGTCTCCCCATACCCCCCCCCCCCACCAGACCCCCCCCACATCACCATCACCCAGCCGCGGGGGGGGATAAACATCCCCCGCTACTCCACAGCTCCCATTAGGGAGTTGATTTGTTAAGAGTTGGAGGGAGAGAGAAGAATAAGAAAAACCTACATATAAATAAAAGTCGTCATTTTATTATTTTACTATAAAGAGGGAGGTAAGGGAGGGAGGGGGAGGGGTGGCGGGGGAGAGAGAGAGAGAGATAAAGGGAGAGAGACACGGAACCCCTTGTCACTGTTCATCAATTAAACTCGCGAACCGCCCCCTTCCCACCACTTACCGCCGCTCCCCAGTTCGCCTGCAGCAATTTTCCGACTTAAATCCATGCCACTTTAATCAAAATTAGAGCACCGAATCATTTGGTTGTCACAGGCTGTCTTATGCATGGGAGGGCATTCAATTACCGATAATAGCAGTGTCACATGGAATCATAACCAGGGCGCCGGCGAGTAAACACGAGAACCACCACGCAGCACCCCACCGACTCCCTACGAGGAGGATGTGGATGAGGAGGAGGTTGGCAGGTGGATGAGGTGGGCAGGTGGATGAGGAGCAGGAGTTGGGGGAGAAGGAGGAGGTGGTGGTGGAGGAGGAGGAGGAGGAGGATGTGGAGGAGACCGACTCTGCTCTACGCTTTAAAACAAAGCTGGGGGAGAAAATGGGGGAGGAGGGAGGTGAGAGTCTGAACCAGGTGAGAGGCTGAACCAGGTGAGAGGCTGAACCAGGTGAGAGACTGAACCAGGTGAGAGTCTGAACCAGGTGAGAGACTGACCCAGGTGAGAGTCTGAACCAGGTGAGAGTCTGAACCAAGGTGAGAGACTGAACCAGGTGAGAGGCTGAACCAGGTGAGAGACTGAACCAGGTGAGAGACTGAACCAGGTGAGTGACTGAACCAGGTGAGAGTCTGAACCAGGTGAGTGACTGAACCAGGTGAGAGCCTGAACCAGGTGAGTGACTGAACCAGGTGAGAGACTGAACCAGGTGAGAGACTGAACCAGGTGAGAGTCTGAACCAGGTGAGTGACTGAACCAGGTGAGTGTCTGCACCAGGTGAGAACCTGAACCAGGTGAGAGTCTGAACCAGGTGAGTGACTGAACCAGGTGAGAGCCTGAACCAGGTGAGAGGCTTGATCTGTCACTGACGATGGATGGCGCTAGGATCCTGCGTACTAACCAGGGCGGCCTGCCGCGCCCAAACCGCGCCCAAACCGCGGACCTCTGCAACGACGAGCGGCGAATGCCACAACTACCGCCGCCATGATTAAGCACGAGGCCTACCTTCGCTGGACAAGTACAGAGATCCGTCCACTCCGTCCTGGTCGCTCGCAGCTCCTCCACCTCCTCCGCCTCCTCCTCCTCCACCTCCTTCACCTCCTCCGCCTCCTCCTCCGGCCGCTGCCACCGCCGCCGCCTCGAGCACCCAGCGCGTGGGGATCTCCAGGCCAGCCAGGCTGGGCAGACTCGAGCGCAGCCACTCCCACGTCTTGTCCAGGCCACTCACTCTCCCCTCACTCTCCTGCTGTTGCTGCTCCTCGTGCTGCTGCTGCTGCTGCTGCTCCCCCATCACGGCCCGGGCACAGGCCGAAGTCTCCAACGACGGCACAGCTGATGAAGCCTCCGTCGCTGACGCCTTCGACGTCGCAGCCGCCGACTCCTCCTCCTCGTCCTTGTGTCCCGCGATCGATGGCGGCGATGACGTGGATGAGGAAGAAGAGGAGGAGGAAGAGGAGGAAGGGGAGGACAGCGACGGTGGCTTCTGCGCCGTGTGCACCGGTGCGGAGAGGAGGCCCAGCTGCCGGGAGAATTCCGCAACGGCTGCCGCATCGCCCCGCCTGCCACACAGCGCGCCATTCGGTTTGCCAACGACACTCCTGTTACAGCCAGCGCCACCACCACCGCCGCCTGCTACCGTAACCATCGCGGCCACCGCCCACTTGGCAGCCGTGCCGGGCCAGCGGTGGGCAGCACCTGGGCCTTCATGAGCGGGGGTGGGCCCGTGCGGCCAGCCGGCGTCGCAGCGAGTGGCCCGCGTTTGCCGGAGCTTTCGCCGGAGCTCAGCAGTGGTGGGCCTGTCCGCCCGGACGTGGCATTGGCGGTGGCAGAAGAGACACGGAGTCTCGATTCGTCGGCTCTCGACGAAGGCAGCGCGGTGCTGGCGCCGGTGGCGATAACGCGGTAGCTCCTTGCCGGCGGCGGTGGCGGCGGTGCCGGCGGTGCATGCAGGTGCTCGGCGATCGGATGCCGCGGCGCCCTGGCGACCCGGCGTGGTTTCACCGAGAGGTCGAGCGGCTCGTGCTGAAGGCCGTCAGCGCGCCGCTGGCACCGGCGCTCGCTGTTCCACTGCTCGGCCGAGAACACCTGGGCGGTGCGGAAACACCGAATGCCGCCACCAGCAGCGGCGGCCGTGCCAGCAGCGCCACGGACAGCCTCGCCGGCACCGCGGAGAACTCCAGCGACACCATCAGCACCGCGGACAGTGGCAGCGCTACCACCGCCATTCTCCGAGCCGTCAGCAGCACCACCGCTGCCGCCGCCACCGCCGCAGCCGCCGCCACGGCCGTGGCCACCCACTGCTGCCACCAACTTGCGCTCGAGGAAGCCCAGCGGCCGGAACTGCCCCGCCGTCCTGGCTTCGCCGTCGAACGCCGGCACCGGCAGGCTCCTTCGGAAGCCGGCCGCAGTCGCGGTACAGTGACGGTGCCGTCGACGTCGACGAGGAGCAGGAGTTGTTGCGACCCGTGGCGGCTCCACGCGGCGAGATGGCGGAAGCGGCCGCCGAGGCGACGGTGGCGGCGGCGGCGGTGGTCACCGGGGCCTGGTGGTTGAGGGCGAGCAGGGCCTTGAGCGAAGCGGTGCTTTGCGTGGCCACCGAGCGGTGGTAGTGGCCCAGGTGGTACTTGAGGGAGGAGGACTGAGTCCCCGCGTACTCGCAGTGCGGGCACTTGTACGGACGCTCCCCTGTTGCGGGGGAGAAGGGGGATGGAGGGGGGTACACGGCGGAAGGACAGCTTGTGAATGTCACTCGCTCTGGTCACTATTTAACCTAAACTAACAACAAATCATTTTTATTGTAGCAGGTAAGGTCCCAATGAGCTATGCAGCTCCTTGTCAGAAGTCACCTGGCCACAAATGACAGCTCAACGAAGTGGCTCATCACGTGGAAATCTACAGCAGCCAAATACGCTCATCGCACGTTTCTAAATGTGGAGGGGAAACCCGGAGGACCCGGAGACAAACATCCACGTGACCACAGCGGAGATTGACACCGCAAACTCCAAATATACCACAGGCGTCACCGGCCGGGATCGAACGCATAACCTCCTGCACGCCATGTGAGGTGGTTAACATCTCGCCACCAAAGTGGCACCGCCGTGTGTGCCGCGCAAACTACGGGGGGCGCCATGGGACCCGTGGCGTGCACGCGATGGTCCGCTTCACGGAGGAGCAGGAGGGCGCGTTCGGAGTCGTCGCGTCTGCCTCGCGAGAGTCGTAGCGCCTCTAGCGGCCGCCGCGGGTTACTGGCTCGCGAGTTCGATTCTTGCTCAGGGGCACCAACACCGGTGACGATTTTGTGAACTGGTCGTGCCTCCCCCCACCCATTCCCTATGTCGACTCAGCCTCCAATGAGTAACCGGTGCGGTGTGTAAAAACATTGCCACTCGGGAGACAAAGGCGGCCGGACGCGGTGCTGGCCACCCACGCCCTCGTGTGCCGTGCCGGCCTTCGTCGGTGTTACTCGCTAACTGCGCTTGCCCCAAAAAGTCGGGCGAGGCTATACGGGGGGGATCCTTGCCGTCAATCGACAAAGCGAGCGTGAAAGCACGTGCCACGGCTCCTCGGCCGCACCTGACGATCGCTGAAGCTCACCTGTGTGCGTGCTGAAGCTCACCTGTGTGCGTGCGTAGGTGAACCTTCAGGTGGTGCGAGCTGCGGAACGTCTTCGCGCAGAAGGGGCAGTCCCTCTCCGTCCGTGACCCCCGACCCCCCCTGTCCTTGTTGCTGTGCTGCAGCTGCTGCCCATCCCCCAGCAGGCGCAACACCTCATCGCTCAGCTCTGTCCAAAGTCAGCAACGACAACAACGACAACAATTCATCATCAGCCGTGTTCTGTCCACTGCTGGATGAAGGCCTCCCCTGTCCACACTCCCCCATCACCCCTGCCATTGCCATCTCCCGCGATCTAACGATACATTTAGTGAATGAGTGGGTAGATGAGTAAGTAGGTAGCTTAGTGGGTGCATGGGTAGACGAGTAGATGGGTGGGTAGGTGACTTGGTCGGTGGGTAAGTGAACGACCGGGTGGATGGGTAGGCAAGTGAATATGCGGAGTGAGTGGGTAGGTGGGTGGGTAGTTCGGCCGATGAGACAAAACAGCCAGCGTTCAAGAGGAGTCAGGAGGAGTGAGGAGCGTGGGCCTTGCTGAGAGAGGCGAGAGAGAAAGGTGCATTGAACAAGTAAATCCGAAAAAACAAAGTTTTTCACTATAAATCCTTTATATGCGTGGCATCGAGGCGGCTAGAGTCCTCTCGTCCTCTGGCTTGAGATGGCTGCCACCTATGGGTCAGATGATTGTCTGGCAGCATTAAACAATTGGTAATTAAATATTTAAAACAAATTCCCTAAACAGTGTAAAATTTTGGAAATATTCTTTTTCACGAAAATGCATTGTCACGCACAACGAGTCTGTGTGCAAAATGTCAGCTCGATTGGATCACGGGAAGTGGGTTAAAAAACGACTGAAAGATTTGCACGGTCCTAAGCAAGCAAGCGAACTTAATCTAAAGGATTTAAAAATATTGAAACTCCGACTGATGTTCCTGATGTTGTGGAGTGACTCATGCAGGCAGCTATGGCTGCAGGGTCTGGTGGTATATGTTGTTCATGTCGTTTATTGTGAAAATTCGGTCACAATTTCTATGATCACTGTTTCATTGCTTTTATGGCTTTATCTTTGGTGATTTCGAAAACGTTTTTTTGGTTTGGCCATGTTTGTTTGTTGTAGTACGGGGTTAAACTGATGCTCTTAATCCAAGATGTCTGGTGGTTGTTGTTGTTTGACTTGCATTCCACTGGGATTTTTGCACACAGCGTTGGTGTACGGTGCTTTTTTTGCAATATTTTGCTGTCTTTTCTTGGATTTTCTGTTTGCACATAGTCACAGAGTCACTTTAAGATGTTTTCTTGTTCATGTTTTTGCTTTTTTGTTTGTTGTGGTTGCACCCGATTCAAGAGCCGAATGGCTCACAGAGCTATACCAAATAAATGAACTTTAACTTGAAACTTGAGAGTCGCGTTGATCAAACTCACATTCACTTGACCCATTCGCTCCCAAAGACAGAGTTCACTCGATTGGCGGCGCGCCGCACGTGGTTATCACGCCGGCACATCGATCATCTCTCTGTCTCTCTGTGCCCTATGCGCCCCTCTGTGGAGGAGGAGGTTCGTGCGGGACGCTACTGGGCAGCTGGGAGGCAGCTGCCTGCGAACAACGGCGGAGGAGCGACGCTCACAACAACGAGCGGAGCGCCGGTGCAGATAAATCTCACAGTAGGAGGGCACAGGTGGTGCATCTGCCAATCATCTCAGTCAGTCGACCCATGTCACCTGGGTCAGTCCCGTGACCTCCTGCCAGCAGCGATCATTCGACACTTTACGTGGCCTCAAGGTGCACCTAGCCTGGCACAAGCGCCTTGGTGACATCACTGCTACTGAGTGGTGACCGGTGGTTGTTGTTGTGTCTCTCCCTCTGTCTATCTCTCTCTCCATGTCTATCCGTGTCTCCCTGCCTGTGGTTCTGTCTTTCTCCCCGTGTATTTCTCTCTCCTTGTCTCTATCTCCCTGTGCATCTCTCGCCACGTCTCTCTCCCTGTACATCTCTCATCCCGCGTCTCTCTCTCCTTATCTACCTGCATCTACCTCCCTGAGTCGATATCTGCGTATCTTCTCCCCGTGTCTCGCTTGCTGTGTATCTCTCACCACGTATCCCTCCCTTCCCCCTGTATCTCTCGCAATATCTTTCTTGCTGTGTATCTCTCACCACGTATCTCTCCCTTCCCCCTGTATCTCTCCCCGTGTCTCTCTTGCTGTGTATCTCTCTTTCTGTCTCTACCCTTGCCAGTTCAGCAACAGCATCACCGAGTTGAGCAGCAGCAGCAACAGCAGCAGCCGCCGCCTGCGTGATGACGTTCGCGTTGGCGCGTGCTGCTATTCCTCGCCTCGCCCTTCAGGTGGCAATGCGCCTCCACGGATGACGTTGCTCAGACCGCCGCGTGCTCACGCGGGATACAAACGGCGCGCGAGAAGTTGATTGTTTTGCAAAAAAAAATCGCGTTTCGGAATCGGCGATCGAGTTCAACTTTTCCGAGTTTTGGAGAGGTGACCAAAGCAACACGATTATATCTTCTTCTTCTCGTTTTGGTGACCGTACCCCCACCACCGCAGGAGTGACCGATGCGGTACAGAGCGGTGTGAAGCCGAGTGGACTTGTGCCGATTCCCGTTCTTCTTCTTATTCTTTCGTATGGCATTGTGAAAAGCGACAGGTTATTTTTTTTGTCTCAATGATCGTCATGAATGAATGCAAAGGTTCCTCATCCAGTCCAATGATGTGGGGTTTCCAGCGACACCGCCAGGACGTGCGTGGATGGAGCGTTCATCGGCGACTTGCTGGGATGGTTTGGACTTCTCCACCGTCAAAGTTGGGCGATTCTTTGCTCATCCGTTGATGGAACAGTGGAACGCGCATCCGCCGTGTCGCGTTCGAGTGCGGTTCAGCGCGCTCCACGGTCGTCGTGGAAGAGGAGACCGTGTCAAGATCTGATGCTCGTGAAGGACGCTGCCGGGGCGGTCGGGAGGCTATCGCCCTCCAACAACGACGAGGGGAGGAGGGGGGCGAAGGAGGGACCGCTCAAGACGACGAGCGGAGCGACGCCAGAGTTGGCACAGCAGGGGGCACAGGTGGTGCATTTCTCGATTGAAAGACTAATTTCTTTAGAATTGCTCCTCGTGTTTAGTGTTTGTTGACCTTCGCCCGCACCTCCGATTAGCGCGGTTGGCTACGCACGGTGACAAAGACGTCCAGCATTCGTACGGTGTACATACATTTTCCGGTCATCTCAGTCAGCCAACCCATGGCACATGCGGCTATCCCGTGACCTCCTGCCGGCGGCGAGCCTTCGACATTTCACTTGATAGCCTCAACGTGCACCTAGCCTGGCACAAGCTCCGCGGTGACGCCACTGAATGTTGTTGTTGTTTTTTTTATCGCGACCCTCCGGCAATCAAGAGGAAGAGATGCTTGCCACTTGATGCACGCGGCGGCGGTGAGTGGCAAGTCATCGATGTGAATCGATGATGAATCGATGGCTCGTGTTAATGATGAGTGCCCGCGAAGTGGAGTGTTGAGGAGGAGGAGGAAGAGGGGGAGGGAGGGGGAGAGAGGGGGGAGGAGGATTAAAAAAAACGGAGGACTAAGAGTGTTGCTCTCCCCCCACGCCATCTCTTCCTCCTCCCCTCTCCTCCTCGTCCCCCTCATCGCCTCCTCTGCTCCTACTCCTCTTCCTTCCCTTCTCCTCTGCCTCTGCCTCCCCTCTCCTCGTCGTGTCTCCTTCCTCCTCTACCCCCCCCCCCCCGTCTCCTCTTCCCTATCTTCCTCCTCCCCTATTCCTCTGCTCCTCAACCTCCACCTCATCCTCCCCTCTCCTCCTGCTCCTCCAAGTCTCCATCCCTCTCTTTCCCCTCCCTCCTCGTCGTACCCCCCCCACCACCACCCCCGCAAAAGCCTCCACCACGCTAAATTCCGCAGTCAGCCAGAGGCGGAATTAGACTCCTCCGCATCCTTCACCTTAATCCGCCGATTTGGACTGAACAACCACACAAGCTGCTTACGCTTTAGGCGTCACGTAAAGGAAGAACATTGCGACCGGCCCCAGAAAGTAGGGTACAGACCCCCCACCGCCCCCCAACCCCTCCCCCCAAGCCCCCCCCCCCCTCACCCATACGCAGCGCCCCCCTAAAAGGGTTGAGAACACTCGCTCTTGATATTTCAATTCAGAGTAAGCCGACGACGATTCGCCTCCTGCACGCAGATCTTGTCTCTGCATATACAACGACGGTGTGCTTTACACATCCCATCAGCCACGCGGCGTAAGACGAGGCGGGGATACGGGGGCGACTCAACGGGAAGGAGGGAGCGTGTGAAATGATTAGAGGAGGGAGGAGGAGACGGGGAAGACAATCACACTCTGCACCGGTTTCGCCAAACAGTGTCTCATCAGCTGCTTGCTTGAACCAGCGCTGCGGGTGAACTGTCACATGTCCATTGGCAGTGAGCATCTCCGTACGTGTGTTGAATTTCGTTCGCACCGTATGTAGCCAACCGTGCTAATGGGACGTGCTGGGGATAAGGACACCATATCACTGAACACAACGAAGCAGGACCCCACATCTCTGTTGGGTCTCCGTTGGATGCGCGTCCTGGTAAGGCGCACGCTGCAGCGGCTAGAGGGGCTCACTCCAGAGCTGCCTCTGGTGGAAGCTTCGTCCGCACATCAGTGAGCGGGACATTGCAGGGCTGCGCTTCTACATTCTTAGGTCCGGCAGAGGTAATGATGTCCCTGTTGCGGTTAGCAGTGGCGAGAGTGATCGGAGTAATCATGATGATGATGATAATGCTGCAGAGAATTAAGATTGATATCACCTATTACTTGTGCGATGATGAGTGATTGTTAGTGATGATGATGATGGTTCATGATGATTGGTAGTAGTGTGGAGGAAGTGATGACGATGGTGGTATTTGTCAATGATGGTTTTTTTGTCTAACAACAAAACTGGTCGTTGTTGATGCTGTTAACGGCGGTGGTTACGATGTAGACCGCGGTTGTTGTTGTGGTGGTGGTGGTGGTGGTAGTAGTAATGTTAGTTTAGTGTTCGGTGGGGGTCGGGGTGGGCGAGGGGGGCGCGAGAGGGGGTGACGGTGGGGGGGGGGCCTGGACGCTCCCAGCCCCCCTCTTTTATTAAACAAACATTCGTTAACCAATGCTGGAAATTAGGCCGG